GGGTGATCTTTTTGAATCTGAATTAGAAGGGAGGCACTGAACGTAGTGCCTCTGTCTGTTCAGGCATGAATTCCTGAGAAGAGCTGTTGATGGCGTACAGGGGGGAAATGTTGGCTGATTGCATTAATCATCTCAGCGCTAAAAGATCAAGCAGACAAGACTGCAAATAAATGCAAGATAGAAATTTAAGAAATAGGTGGTTGCTAAAATTTAGTGTGGTGGTGTCTGAGAGTCATTCACAGTGCAGTCTGAGCATGACATCACATGAAAGTTTATTGCCTGAGATCGTGCATAATAAATTTATTTTTAGACCTGTATATTTATTTTCAGTTCAAAACAAGTTTAACTTTTATCATTTGCAGGCAAAATGCATTTTTTGAATGAATTTTATTGGATTTAATGGATTTTATTTGGTCACATTAAAGACCACTCAACACAAAAACAAACAAAACTTTAACCCTATATGACCAAAAACGTAGAGGCAGAAGCCAATAGCTTGTTTTGCCTCACCTTACAATTCAAAATGGATTCCCAAAAAAACACACACATACTTCAACTACATCCTGGTTATATGCAAATCATTAAAACATTTTTTATCAACTATATCGTTATTATTGTCCATACATACAAAAATATATGTAATATATTACCACCACCGTCATCACAACTGACTACTATAAACCATAACTCGTAATTAATTTACTTTTTAACTTCTTTTTGAAACTTAAAAGAGAGTCACTAAACTTAGTTTCATCATTTAGATTATTCCACAATTTAACACCCAATACTGAAACACATCTAAATTTGATATTTGTTCTTACTTTATGTACTTCAAAAATAAAGAACCCCCTTAAATTATAATTATTTTCCCGTAAATTAAAAAAAAATCTTTGAATACCATCAGGAAGACTATTTATTCTTACTCAATATAGTAATTCCAGTGTTTTTAAATACACTAAATTTTAAAACAGAAGACTTTAAGAATAGTGGGATTGTGGAATCAAAAAACCCAGCATTATTTATTAATCTAATTACTCTTTTTTGAAGTTTAACTATTGGATCTATATTGGTTTTATGAACATTAGCCCAAACCTCTACACAATAGGACACATATGGCACTACAAGTGAAAAATAAAGTGTATGCAGACAACTTCTATTTAACGATTCTTTGGTTTTAAAAATAATTGCAACTGATTTTGATTTTTTTTTGTCTGATATACTCTATATGTGACTTCCTAGATAGTTTTTCTTTAATGATTATTCCCAAGAATTTTATTTCTGGTACTCTTTCAATTTCAATTCCATGTAAATTTAATTTTATATTATGTCTAACCCTAATTCCACTGAACACCATAAATTTTGTTTTACTTTCATTTCCCTTTTAGGTGATATAGGGTTGAATCATTTAGTCATTTTGTTCTATTATGATTTTTTTTAAGATAAAAAGTTAAATTAAAATGTGTTGGAAGTTCCTGCTGAGTTTTATCTTGAAAATACTCTTTTTCTCAACACATTTTTTCCATCAGTTTTATTCTTTTCTTTTTTTTTGAGCAGCTTGTCTGTGCCAAGTGCACCGAAGCATAGCAAGAATCGATCAGGACAATTTGTATTTATTTTATTTTTTGTGTGTCTAGAGATGTGCTTGTCTGTGATTAGTTGGGTAGTGTGTGTAATCTCCTGCCCTGTCTCAGCAAACCTTGTATCCTGTTAGACCTTCCCAGCCATGTTTAGTATTCAGACAGCAGGCGCTGTCGTAATCTGGATTCTGAGGCAGGTTGCTGGGCTTTTTGTTTGCTCTTATGGCCCTGATAATCTTGTTACACTGCTGTCAAGTGGAGCTGGCCCTCCCTGCAGCCCTGAACCACCACATGTGCCACCTCCAGCACCAGAAACACAGTCCTCCTTCCCGTCACCACCAGCCTACCGCCATTTTGAGACAGTTGTTGATGGAAGAGCCTTGGATGTATCCTTGAAGGATCACCTCCTGAGCATCTTTATTCAGCCTCCAGCCCCCGCTCAGTCTCCCACCCCCATCTCAGGCGGTAAACGACAGTGATAAATATTCATCAGAGGGACGCGGCGCACGGGTAGCTGGAGCCTGTTCCCCCTCAACAACGAGTCCCCTGGCTAATGGTGTCCATCCTTGGCACCCCCCCTGGAGAGTGCTTTTGAAGGGGACAAGATCTTTAAATCAGGCCACCGGCCTGGGGCCAGACCTATCATGTTATATCAGTATTATGGCACCGGTTTAGTTTATTCATGTATTCTTTTTCTTGAGCATTAACCTGATGCTCATCCTGTATATTCATATAAACAAAGACCAAGTTTAATGCTTCCTTTCATGATTGCATTAGCTCAACTTCACAAGTTCTCAATTGGCACTTTGCTTTTGGTCTATGCTGAGATCAGTGTTTTTTTTTTAAACTCAACCTGTTCTACTCAGGCTCCTCGAAATGTGCCGACCATGCATTTTACACAAGGCTTTTTCCTCTCTTTTCTTTTCATCTCGCCCTCTCTCTTTCCCTGCCTCTCCTTTTTCTGTCCGTCTCTCACTGTTCCTTTTTTCTGCGGGTGACCACACTCAGCGTTTTTTCCATTTCCTGTGGGTGTGATGTCTCTCCTCCGCAAGCAATCAGCTCTGATTTGTCAGCGTTCTTCCGGGCGATTCATAAAAATTCAGCAAGCGTCTACAAAAGACGTCTGTGTCCCCCACGTTTGCTCCTTACCTCCAGCGCCCCTGCGCTCGAGCTGCAGCTTTCACCTCTTTTGGCTAGACGCTCAGTAAAGGCATGAAATAATGGATGTGAGGTGATGTACAGTAGCACTTGTTTTGTTTGAGTTGTCAAATTGAGGGCGTCTCGTCACAAATGATCAACCAGAGCAACTTGGACGATTTCCCATCGTTTCATAAGAAAATTAGAGGTGCAGTTTTCTCTTTGCTTCTCTATTTCTGTGGTTTCCTCTTTGTCTCTGTGAGGTATGACATGCCCGGTAGTGGAAGGGAGCAGCTGTGCATTGGACCTTGTCTGTGTTGTTCTGCCATGGCCTGTCATTGGTAGCCGTCTGTTGGCAGCAGCCTGTGCTGGAGGCTCGCAGCCTGGCTGCAATTTTTACTCCGTGTCATATGGTGAGCTTTCAGAATGCCAAGCCGTGTTTCTGTGTTGCCCTACACAGCTGTGTGACAGAACACACCTCTTAAACTTCTAAATTTATATAATACTTCTCTGTGTTATCAAGATTTCCACTTGTTTTTGGACAGTGTTAGGTCTCAGCTGCCAAGAAAAAAAAAGATGGGCTTAATATGATATTTGGAAGATGCAAGCTTTTTTTCCCCCTCTCCTCTCAGTGGCTAATAATGTAGTACTCTCCCATCTATTTGTCCATTATCATCTGTGCATCATCAGGCAGACCATTATCCCATTATGTTTTGCATCTGTGGTCCAAATGCTTACTGGAAATGAGTCACCACAAAGGCTTGTGAAAGGTAGGTGTTACTATCAGAAAGGCTATTCATAGCCAGCCCGTCAGAGATGAAACTATCACATTTAAAAAGTCCTCTGCAGAAAGTGAAAGGCTTTTAATACGAGCATCATTCGTGGCACGGGGAAAGGTTGTGGTTTTCATGAGGAGCCAGAGGACTTTTTGAAGTAAAAAGCATCAAGAATTCCAGTCACAGTCTGACCTCATGTTATGTCCCCAGCCTCGGTTGTAGTGTCGTATTCAGGTCATTTTTAACAAGCATCTGTCTCTCCCGATTTGGCTCAGGTGACCGGTCCACCTGTAGCACCCCCCTTTGTTGCCATGGAAATATCCTGGCCTTCTTGGCGCACTTCAGAGCGACGACTCATCTGTTTTCCTTTTCTTACCTCGCTGAGCTTTCCTGCACACATCATACACGACTAACTTAATGTGCACAGAGGCTGTAAACAAACACACACTGACACACGTTGACAGATCTTTGTGGGATTCTTTATGTGGGATTCTTTGTTTCCTGATGATTAAAGTTCTAACAGCCAATATGAGTTTGTTTATGTGTGCCGTACTAGCACATTGCTGGCTGTGTAAATCAGCTTAGCGATGCAATGTGCTGGGTGGGCTGACTGTGGTGGGTGTCTGTGTCGCTGACACAGCATTTACTGCATGCAGTGCAAAGCACCCAGGGCCACAACTGTGTGTGTTTGTGTGTGTGTGTGCGCGCACTTAGCCCACACGGTGGAAGGCACTCGACCTCCTGTCTGCCTTAACACCAGCAGGTTCAGTTTCTCGCCTGCACATCTCCTCTTGGAATTTCCTCAGTACTGACAGGACAAAATTAAACTGCAATGCAGCCCTGTTATCCTGGGTGGTACTTAAGTGCTGCACTAACAAAATATTTCTCTCTTTTTCTTTATTGATTTATGGGATTATGACTGGGCTCAGGCCAACACAGGTGTGACTGTCTAGACTGTGTAGCTTGCTCAGTAAATGAAAGGCAGCACCGCGTTTCTTCTAGTGAATGTATTTTGGTGGAGGTAGAAAAGCTCAGCACGGTTTTCTCTCTGGGGGGCTGTGCTTGAAAGAAGTGACTCCTCTTGTGGTTTTTTTAATGAAATTACAAACTGCTGGCAGCCAATTAAACACCATCCTCCTCGTTGCTCACTACAGTGCTGATTAAACATTGTACAGCATTCAAAACAGTGATTTAGTTTGTCTTGTTTTTATTAAGGATACAAACCTTTAATAAATAAATAAATTTATTATTATTATTATTATTATTATTATTATTATTATTATTATTATTATTATTATTATTATTGTGGCAGATGCACAGACTGCACTTGTTCAAAAAAAAAACTGGTATCACAAAAAGTCTTGTCCTTGCCCTACTTTATATTTTTGGGGCATGGTCATGCTGTAGCCTATTTTCCAGAAATAAAATGTTTTTGTATTTTATTTAAATATGTTATTTGACAGCTGTGTTTTTTTTTCTTTTTCTAAATCTATGACTTATCTTTTCGCAGAACAACCAGCAGTACACGTGAACGCTGCTCTCGTGGCATGACTACCCCAAACAAGGGAAACAAGGCCTTAAAGGTAAAACAATCTTGAGTGATGCTGACAAATATGGCTCCGAACCATGACAGTTTTAATATGCGAGTGGTGTAATGGTAAAAAAAAATAATAATAACTCGTCCGCAGGTGAAGCGGGAGCCTGGGGAAAATGGCACCAGCCTAACAGATGATGAGCTCGTCTCCATGTCTGTACGTGAACTGAACCAGCATTTACGGGGGCTGTCGAAAGAAGAGATCCTGCAGCTGAAGCAGAGGCGGCGCACCCTGAAGAACCGCGGCTATGCCGCAAGCTGCCGGGTGAAGCGTGTCACCCAGAAGGAGGAGCTGGAAAAGCAAAAGGCTCAGCTGCAGCAAGAGGTGGACAAGCTGGCCACGGAGAACGCCAGCATGAAGGTGGAGCTGGACGCGCTGCGCTCAAAGTACGAGGCCCTCCAAAGCTTTGCCAGGACTGTGGCCCGCAACCCCGTCACTTCAGCGAGGGGACCGATGGCCTCGGTGATAGGGCCCCTCATCCCTGGTAAAGTAGCCGCCACCAGCGTCATCACCATCGTCAAATCCAAAACCGAGGCCAGGTCGTAGTAGCCGAACGAGCCGGAGGAAGACTTTCAAAGTTTAACTAGTCAGTGCATTGTAACACGGAGCAGGATTTCCTGTGTAAGTTCTCACTTTTACTTTGGCACTAACGCGTAAAATGCTTCCCAGTTCGCTCTTTCCCAGTATGACTCAGAGGTGTTTGCTCGTCAAATCGTAGAGTGACAAATGTTTGTTTTTTTTAAGACCGAGGGACGAATTCTGAAGAATTGACATTTCTAGAGTCCCACAGGTGGTCACAACCCATAAAACAATAAACTATAGATGGGTCTCCTTTCTAATTCCACAGCACAGACTGGAGAAACACATCAGATTATGTACGGTTTGTTATTCTGCACTGACTAAAACATCAATTGTCACACTTTTTGTTTTATAACTACATAAGTCTTCAAAGAAACCTGACCTACACAAAACTGTTGGGTTTCCTTTAAGGATACAAAACTATGATTCATTTTCAGTTCCTAAATTCGTGAAAGGCTTCAGTGAAGTTGTCCTTTTAACATGACTGGTAGATGCAATAATATGTGTATGCACTGAAAACACACACACACACAAAAGGATATTGAGTATTTCTGGTGACGTGAACAATGATCAGCAGTTCTCACAGATATTGTTCCAGAGCTGAGTGCCATTCCAATAGAACAATATCTGAAAACCTGAATGTTATTACAGTAATACCCTCACACTTTGTGGGGACAAATCTTTTGAGCCGTCATTTTGATCGTAGAAGAAAACGTCATTTTCTTTCAAAGATAAACATGTTTTTTTTTTGTTTTTGTATTTACTTGTTAACAGGGCCGTCATATATTTCCAGAAAAAAGAAAAAAAACTGAAAAAAAAGTCTTAACACAAGCTTTACTGTTTGAATTGTTAAGGTGTGAAAAACTTTGTCTAATGTTGAGTTCCTGGTTTTTATTACTTGGTAGATTCAATTCCATTGTTTATAGAAACGCATCATAAAAACAAAAGAAAAAAAAACAAAAAAAATCCTGTGAAATCTTTTTTGCAATTGTACCAAAAGTGGCTTACTATTGAAGTCTGATAGCTTTTTCTAGTGACTAGGCGCGTACAGTGGGGTAGCGCGTGATGTGACGTGTAAGTGACAAAGTTGGCGGTGTCGTTCACTGTATAGATGTCAATGCTGTGCTATTTTAAACAAATCTGTAGAGCTAAACTAGGTGGTGTAAACAAGGTCAATTGTCTTTGTGCGTATTGGCATCTGTGATATCCTCCGCTTCCTCGGTGTTAGTTACAAACCACGTTGTCATTAAGAGTTTACGTCATTGAGCAGTGCAAGACAGATATCGGTAAAATAGCATCAGTGAACAGGAATGAAGACGTGAAGCTAATAATGGTGAATAATGGCTGCACCTGGTGATGGATCACTGTAACCGGAAATGAAAAGATTTCATCATTGTTCCAGCTCTGAATTAAATAGTGATAAAGTGTTGAGAGTGGATATGTTTTTCACAAACGTTGCATTTTCTTATGAGATCGCACAAATCATTTTTAAGATTAGCCACTTGGGGCGGGTTTAGCCTCACCTCCATATCTTTGCCCATTTCTCAAAGTTTTGTATATATGCACTAAGCTCCTGCTTGTTTTGCTCAGGACAAAACAGGCCACTTAAAATGGACAAACCATTTTAGATGAGAAGCGAAGTGGCAGGGATGGCAGCTCTGTTTTCGCTCTAGTTTCTTCTTTTTCTCTTCTTTTCTTCCTTGTCATAAAGGGCTTCGATCCGCACGTAGAAAGAGACGCGGCACGGCGATGTCGAATTACAGTCGCGAGCAGCTGCCAGCAGCGCTTCCTCTGTGCCAAGTGTGGTATCTCCCGGTCTTTGTAAGGGGAGTTTCACGCCGAGGCAGTCGCACACCTCAAGGTTTGAAAGCGGTTATGTAACGACATCAACACGATGCACCTCATCCAGGCTGGTCAGAGCGCGTCGTAGTGTCGGGAGAGACGTTTACCCGCGGTCACTCTCAAATCCTCCGTCTCAGCAAACCTCCATGCCAGAGATCTGGGTGCTGGTTATATACTGTCTGTGTGCAGGTTTCTTGTCCTGACTTTGTCAACATGCTTAGCTATCTGCAGTGACTGGTTAACTGTGGGGGGAAATACATACGTGACTCTTGACATAGCTCAGTATTGATATTGGCGTCCTTATTGCTGTGGCAGTCTTGTAGAGTGACTCTTTTTTTTAAAGTATATATTTTAATTATTATTTTTTTTCATGTCGAGTGTCTTTTAAGGTGTTGAAGTGGCACTGTTGACCAATCTTTGAATCTCGTCTCGAGATGGTGACTCTTTATCACACATACTGGTGTATAGTATGTAGCTGCAGTAGGTATTGATGACCATTGTGAAAAATAAAGTGACCCTTAATATGCAACTCAGTGGAAATGCGTGAAAGAGACGTATAAAGTTAAACAGTATTGTCCAAGTTGTGAGAATATGTTTAAATGTTGTTACTGTTTTATTTAAATTTTTAACTTTTAGTTGTGAAATGTGTTTTATTTGTTCAGATTTTTGCTTCAATAAGTAAAAAAAAAAGGCATTTGGCCCTTGTTTATTTATTTTCTGTGGTAATTTAAAGGAACCACAACACAGCTGCACTGAAGCCTTATTGGATGAGTCTTACTGATTTAAAAATTGGACGTGGATATTAACTGAAAGATACTGCTGGTATAGAGATGTTTGTGCACTAAGTGGATGACAGATTCTGTCACAAGGGCCTCATGCAATATTTATTTCATCTTTGGGATACGTGTGTACGTGATTGTTGGAGTGTGGTTCCTCTGCTGCTACATCAGTCATTAATGCTCACTGTTTGCTGTTGCGTCCTCCACGGCACTTCTGTTCTCATTCCGTGGTGTGTTTTTAATTGATCTTAACACTGTAATTTGTTCTGCAGATTTAATGTTTAATTGGACATAGCTTCTTTTAAAAAAAAAAAAACTGTTAGAGAGGATAATAACAGCACTTGTGTGGCAGTTGAATTTAATAGCTCTCAAAACGTAAGCTTTTTTTATTATTATTTTTTGTGGAATTATTCTTTGTAAACGGTTGACTGTGCAGGTTTTTTCCTCTTACTCTGTGGAGTGGGTTTTGTGTTTTAAAAGGAATCTAAAACTGACTAAAGTGAGTAATACAACGGTAATAATATGTTTTTGTTATATTTCTGTATGGGTTGTAATAAAATATTGCAGTACTTTGTATGAAAACAGACAATAGGTAATTGTAACTATTTATAAATTAAATTATTGTACTTTTTTGCAATCTGTAGATAAGCACTATGTATTCATAAACAGTATCAGCTGTGGATTTAAATGTGATTCTTTGAGGTGTCTAAGTTATTGATGTATATATTGTATGTTTGTTGATACAGCTTACTTTATTTTCTATAAGATCAATAAAATGTTTTGGAAAATGATTTTGTCATTCGAGGCTGTTGAAAACTCCGTAAATGAGGTTTTGTCACGTTCTGTGGCGTCATTGACCCAGTTTGATACTTGTAAAAATAAACTGGCTGGAAAGGCTTTTCGCCGGCCAGGGTGGGTTTCAGAAGACGGCGATCATTTAGATGGCACAATTTCTTTTTCTGTGATCCAAAAAAAGCTGCCGGGCGACCCACTTTGGCTAACCTCAGCGGACGTATTTTTGGCCCGACACGAGTAAAACATTAGAGTCATGAAGGATGTCTAGGTGTGCTTGTCCTAGATTAGGAGGAGTTGTGAGTTAGTCATCTCGGTTCCCTGTGGAGCTCCTGACTCCCCCCCATTTCCTCATCTCAGTGCACCTCATCAAACATCAGCCTCCTCAGCACCGTTTCAACCCCAGCACATTCAAAACACATCTCCAGAGAGACTTCGCGGAGACAAAGAGACAGATGGTTTCAGACAAGTTGCATCTTACCGCTTCATCCTGCAGGGCAGGTCCAAACCCCACCGCCTCGCAGCGAGATGCTGGTCCTCGGCTCCATTAAACGCTTCCACAGGTCTGTGTGTGACCTGTGCCTAAAAACAGGCTCTTCTCCTCTCCTCGGACGCCTGCCCCAGACAAGCGAATGGCCTCTGAAGAGTTGATTAATTTGGCGGGTTGGGTTAAGGTGAGCCGGTGGGCTATCTAGGACAGCATTCTTCATGTTCACCCACTTCTGCAGCAGGTGCCTGCCCCAGTTCTCGGACCACAACCCCACCGTACAATTAATGTTGCCATCCCCATTAGCAAGGGTGAACCGTTGTCACACGTGCCCTCTTAAAAGTTTAATGCTGGGCTTCATCCTGAATATTCCATTCTAGCCCAAAACACTACAGTTAGAAAAATATTTAATCCCTTTTTTCCCCCCTCTTTCATTTAAGAAAAGTGTTGTTTTGTTGACACTTAAACATGACAAGAAGAATCGTAAAGAGTTTCCTCAGAATCTTTCAGTTTTTGTTAAAGAGTAAGTGCTGCACAAATTGGATCCCTGCTCGGACAAAAGATGCCACTGAAGACAAAGAAGATCAGGATAGTCTGGTAGGAAGTGGCTGTGTGGGATTAGGGTGCCCCCTGCTGGTCTATAATGGAAAAACAAATTAAACTATAGGGCTTTTTTTTCTCTCTCGCTTTAATTTTACGCAAAAAAGCACATTTCACTTTTTATACTGAGGTGAAATAATTACAGAAGGAATTTACTATGTTCTTACACATTTAATACACATTTTAACTATAAACTTAAATGCTATAACTGTTAAAAATGTAGCTCTACTTTAATTAAGTACATTTTGTGTAGGTGATTTATCCCTCTTTGTTTACAATAAGTATATTAAAATTCGGAGTACAGCATGTTAAAAATGATCAAAGTGGATGGAATTAGTGGCTCTATTAAACATAAATAAATGCGTATGACTAAATATAATAGGCTGCCGCACAAAGATTTTGATTCATCTCTCATTTATTTTTGCTTCAAAGAAGCAGTGTTTCTTGTAATCCTTCAAAACTATCTAAAGAAGTAATTATTTGTTCTGTCGAAGTTTTTTAAATAAAAACCCAACTGCTTTTTTGGTTCAAAGGAATGACTTTTTTTTAGTTTATTAAGAAAAATAAAATAAAATAAACTCAAAGAATAAACCAAAACCATTTAAAATGTAATACAGGCTAGGCTATGTAGCAGTCAGTCACAAAAACATTTTGTTCTCATCTCTTTTATTGGACCTGTATATCACAAAGGATACAGTTAGGTGGTAAAATGTTAGCACCAACAAAGTGGTGAATTATTAATCGACTATGCCTTTACACTTTTTTTCCAAGAAATTTGAGTTGGTTTAAAACTTTTGCACAGCATTACACATTTATATTTGTACATTATACAAACATTTCGACACTGCTGTGAATTAAAAGTCTAAGTAAACAAATAAACAGTTCGTGTTGTTTTTACAGGAAGTGGGTAAAAAACGAGTGAACCTGTCACCTGAGCTCCAGCGGTCACATCAAACGAGCCGCCGAGACGGTGTGGTCACGTGACCGCGGAACCCGCCTGGATTACGTATAGTGCGCCCCCCCTGCCTCCACAGGCCGTCTGCGGTGAAACAGGAAACACGGAGCTCAGTTCGGAGTTTTTCAAAATAAAACCTCACGAGAACCAAAATGGAAACGGCGCATGCCTTTAAAGACTGCACGCTCGCTTCCGCCGCGTGCCGCTTCTACGTTTGACCAACTTGACGCACCGCGGACCGTGCGTGCGTCGCTGCGTCGACCGGCGAAAGGAGCATAGGAGGAGGAGGAGAAGGAGGCGTTGGCGCATCACACCACCGCCACCACCTCCGCCGCCGCAGCCGCCGCCGCCGCTGACGCACAAGAACCCGCCGGAGCGTGAGGTGGGGGGGTCTCACACACCTGCCACACGGTGCGGCAGAAACACCTGACTCGAAGAGAGCAGCTGATCAGAATGATCAAGAACGGCCACCATCACCAACACCACAACCACCAGGTGAGCCCGGCGCCCGGGAAAGACGCAGGCGCGACGTGCAGCCCGGAGAAGAGGAGGAGGAGAATCCGAGTGTGGTGCGATGGCTGGTGAGTCATGTTACTGAGATGTGTGCGCTGCTCTGGATCAAACTGGGAGGCTGGGAGCCGTGACCAGCACAGGCCTGCTCCTCTTAACTCCTCCATCAGCGCCTGCTCGTGCCAAAACTTCTGCAGCATAAACCATGAGCGATTGGAGCGTTATAAACCAAATCTGCTGCTGCAGCACTTTTCCTGCAGGACATCTCACAAAACGTGTTATTACATAATAACATACAGGCTGCTGACGACCATAACTCAGATTTACTCCTGGGTACTGACTGTCCTTTTACAAATCTGTTTACGTTTTCACCTGAAATAATTAACTAGGAGGGTTTTTGTTAATCTGAAAAGTTTTTTTTTTTTTGAATGAGTGATCCTTTTTTCATCATCTGCTGATACATTTGTGACAAGAGTTTATATTTTTCCTGTATTTTATGACATTTAGTTGTAAAAAAAAAAAGATAAACTTTAATAACTTTGTAAACTTAGAACTAAGAAATCCGGCCACATTTGACTTTTTCTTTTTGTTAGTGTCAGTAATTTGTGACACATTGTGTTATGCGTGCAGATTTGTTAAAACACACTTAGCGTTGCTCCTTGCAGTCACGGACACCCAGAATCCCACAAGGATGTCTTAGTATTCGTTTGATTAACCTGTTAACCTCTTACACAGCAGAAACAGGAAGTTGGAGCCCGATTGTATCAAATATGAACATTCTTGGAACAGATAAGTCCGAGAGGACCTTGATGTGTGTCGAGACGTTTGAACCGACTAGACTGCTTTGTTCCTGCAGTTTGAACGTTTGGTCCTTTATGTTTTATTCACTTGATGTTTCTACTTTATTTCGCAGGTTGTTTAAATGCTGATTCGGCGTTTGCTCGATTGTTTTCCTGTTTCTTTAAACTGTTATTTGAATAAAGAAAGTCCTCGAAGTAAATCGAATAACCTGAGAAAATAAGGGTTTTGTGTTTGGAGAAGACGGCGTCGTGCTGCCACCGCGCAGATGTTTCGAATCACTGTGCTTGAAGACCGGGATTACGGTGCCTTTCTCTTGCAGAGCCCCCGCCGTTTCTGCGTGGCTGCGCGTCTAAGGTCTCGAGGAATGTCGTGGAGTATTCGGGATGCCGGAATATTAACCGGTGGGGTGAGCGTGCAAAGAAAGCCAATGTCAACAGAGCTTTGTGTCGTTAACCCCGCTGACCCTCTCGGCCCCCCACCCGCCCACACCTGCTCAGGCTGCTGAGGCTCGAGTTATCGTCTCCCTCCCTGCTGGCTTCCTGCTTTGTCAGCAGCTTGAGAGGAAAATTCCCGAGGAAAGATCACAACTTTTCATCTCCTTTGTGCATGTGCTGTGATTGTTAGACACCGTGAAGTGTGACGGGGGGGTTTAAAGATCACCGGTTGGAGGAGCATCATCGGGGAGGAGTGTAAAGTCCACTGCAGAGCGTTACACGCAAGACTGTAAACACGCCAGATTATTGCTCATTGATTTCAAGTTTATCATCTTCGATTGGTTTCTAACTCCTGGTATTATTTGAAGTGCCCATCACCCTCTGGCACTTTGTGCGTAGATGTCTGCAGGCTGCTGCCCTTCAGAGGCCTCAGTGCCACTTGGGTGTCTGCTAACAGGCTGCCCTAATAAAAATTTCATCAGCTCACAGTGATCCATCCCTGCTAAAAAATACAGGAGGAATACAGTATCTCCCTGGCATAAATAATCCCCCCCGACACATCGCCTCCTTCTTATTGCATTCTTCTCTGCTTGTTCCGTCACCTAAGAGAACCACAGACTTGGAGCCCAAACAGAAGATTTCCACGCTTTTTCATTTAGAGTTGTGACCTGGAAGCACAGTTAAATGCTTGAAACGTGCAGCTGAGGCTATATTCTCACACAGCATATACGTTGGGTCACTAATGGATTACCTTGCAGTTACCAGGGTTATATTCAAAGTAGAGCAAAAGAAGAAAAAGTAGACCTGCAAGATGGAAATGTCATGGAATTACTCCAGTCAAAGGATACCAGGATTAACATGCAAGCTAAGGAGGTGAACCTGGAAACCAATGAAGTGGGGGCAACTCGCACTTTATCAGTGCGATTGAAGTTGCTGGGGTCACTGATAGGAGACTAATGCCCATCTGTTTTCACTTTACGAGAGATTACCGCATTGCAACCTCTGCCTCTTATCTGTGCTAATCTAATTATCTGCAGTCAGTGTTGTAGCTGACGTAAAGCGCATCTCACCATTCATTGTTTTTATTGTCTGACCTTTTGTCAGACATCTTCCTGATTAACCGTGACAATTAAACTGACTGAACAGTATAAATAATAAAATAAAACTTTTTTTATTTGTTGTTTTAGATCATAAGTCAGGTATTTTTTTTAAAGTTTAAAAGTAGAGTTGACACTGTCATGAATAACGTACAGTATAGAGGAAATTTCTTGCAAAGTATATTTAAAAGCCAACAAATTCCTACAATGTTCTTTGCCTTCCTGGTTTTAAAATCAATCTTTCAAGCTTCATTAAAAAGTTTTGTAAGTGCTTTTGTTTTCCCTCCACAGCTACGACATGGTGCATTACGGCCACTCGAACCAGCTGCGACAGGCCAAGGCTATGGGAGATTACCTCATTGTTGGAGTGCACACAGACAGTAAGGCTTTAAGTCTTCGAACCGCATCGCTGTGTGATGTTGCGATGTAAAGATTTGTAAACGGGGCATGGATCTCTGTGGAGACTGAGCACACGTTTCTCTGCTTCTGAAACTGGATGATCTACAAGAGAACGTTTCATAGATTCAGTGATTTTTTAAAAAAATCTTTAAATTGATCCTTTAGGATCAGACAAAGAGCTCTATTCATTTGGAAATTGGTAGAGAAGCTACAACTCCAGCCTAAGGTGCAAAATGTTAAAACCTATCATCTTGACATTTACACATTTTCACAATATTCCATTAGTTTATTCTTTTGATCCTCTGGGTCCTGGCCTTTGGCGAAGGCTGTGGGAAGCAAATCATTTTTGATGAGCTATAAAGGTCCTGATGTTCTCTTTAATGTATTTAATTTTGATTTGCTCCTGCTGGGATTGTGTAAAGCACTTATGAGTGTGCTCTCAGGTTAGAGGAGATGGAAAGACTAGTGATGAGTGAACAAAGTATACACATAATATGGCCATCAGAGGAGAACATTTCTTTCCTCCTGTCTAAAACAACTCAAACATGAGTTCAGTGAACGGTAGGTGTGTCTGCATCCTCACAACACTGTCTGTTTTCAAGAAGATATTAGTCAGATGGCAAACATGGACATTTGCTACCAGTGTCTTGTCCCGTTCCAGGGTATTTCTGTTGCTTAAACACCGACGACTCCACCCAGTCTTCACGTTAGACTCTGTTGTTGTAATTGGAATAATCCGGTCACCGTGCCTCCACCTTTTCCTCTTGATTTATTCCTTTTTTGCTTTCCAGGTGAGATTGCAAAGCACAAAGGCCCACCGGTCTTCACTCAGGAAGAAAGGTACAAGATGGTCCGGGCCATTAAATGGGTGGATGAAGTTGTAGAGGGAGCCCCTTATGTCACAACCCTCGAGACGCTCGACAAGTACAACTGTGATTTCTGCGTTCATGGAGGTACTAAATAACGCTGCTGCTTTTTTTTAGTTAGATGAATATTAAAAGCTACGAATAACTTTGAGTGCGCGTGTCGTTTCAGATGATATAACTCTAACTGTAGATGGGAAAGACACGTACGATGAGGTGAAGAAGTCAGGACGCTACAGGTGAGGACCGCACTGTCAGTCAGGCTGGGCCCCTGTGTGTCTGTGTTGGATCCACTCTCATGGTGTGTATTCTTGTTGTTCCAGAGAGTGTAAGAGGACGCAGGGAGTTTCAACCACAGACCTTGTGGGCAGGATGCTGCTCATGACCAAAGCACACCACAGCAACATCGTGAGTTTCGCCAAATTCCCTCCGTGAGCGCTCACTCAAGAGAATAAAGCCGGTTTTCTCCTCTTTTATTTTCCAGGATAGTTCAGACTATCAGCAGCACAAAGACAACTTTGGAAAGGTAAAATCTGTTTGGAACAAATAATTCTTCTTCCTCTGTCGTTTTGACACTAAAGTAGGTGAAGTTGCCATTTGGGCCAGATGTCAGCTATTACTGAGCAAAGACCTTTATTTTAGACTCACCTAGTAATCATTTAGCAGGCTTTGCCAGTAAGCTGTGAATGCTTCTTCAGTTCCTGAAAGCCAACAAATTTAAGGCTGGAGGGAAAATGATGTTACTTTGGCAAAGGTTTTTGGATTGTTGGACCAGCTTGCCGTTTGCATCTAACCACCACTAGGTGGCAGTGATGCTGTATAAAGATCCATTCTTCTTAGAAATAACAGATATCTGTATAATTGTGGCTTCATTCATTTGTATTTATTTGTTTGTTTGGTCCATGTGTTCAAAAGGGCCACAGTCCCTGGACAGGAGTGTCTCAGTTCCTGCAAACTTCTCAGAAGATCATCCAGTTCGCCTCAGGCCAGGAGCCTCAGCTCGGAGACACCATCATATACGTAGCAGGAGCATTAGACCTTTTCCGTATCCTTTCAGAAATGAACCGTAATCACCTCGCAGAGGACACTTTATGTCCAGTCTTTGCACGGCTAAAGGAGAAAAGGGGCCAAAAAATGAAGTTAACCACACAACTAATATAACCAAACACGTCACAAAAGTCCCCGTCCTTGACTCTTCTACCAGACATTGGACACGTGGACTTCCTGGAAGCGGTGCATAAGCTTGCAGAGAAGCCGTACATCATAGTTGGATTGCACTTTGATCAAGTAAGCTTTTTAATGCCTCTATCTCGTCTCTGAGAAGGCATTTGTCAGTGATTCATTTCCCATCCAAGTCATCTCAACTTTGCCATGCTTCTCCTCCTGCATACTTTGTCCTAGAGCTGCCATTGTAATTTATATCTGTAAAGCCCCTGTGCTAAATGATGTCTATGCCTTTTGGTGCCTGTAAAACTTATAGTTTTTGAAATATTAATGTTTAATAAATTATAATGACAGTCATTTGAGCCTTGTATTGGTCCAATACTGCTCCCTGCTGCATCTACACAATATGGTACTGCACCATATTTTCATAATATTTAAACTCAGTTGTTCAGTTATTACAATATTAATATGATTGTATTTTGATGTTTTACTGTAATACTGTCTTTATGTTGTCCTATTGTTGTAATATATTGCAGTTAAGTATCAATAATTGCATTGGCAAGGTAAACTTTTTCTGTATACATACAATCCAATCCCTGGGATTGTCCTCTGCCACATCTCCTATAGTCTCATGATGAGCACTGTGGGCTTTCATGCGGGAGATCAGGGTTCAAATCCAGCTAACGCAGCTTTAACAAAAAATCTCTTCCAACTTCATATTGTCACACAATTACCTTAATTACAAACAACTGCTGATGTGACAGGCATAAGCTGGTTGAGCAAATACATTTGAACTGAATACATTTGTCTAGTTACATCTATTTTTTTGTTTTTCAGGAGGTAAATCGTTACAAAGGGAAGAATTACCCCATCATGAATGTCCATGAGAGGACCCTCAGTGTCCTGGCTTGCAGGGTGTGTTCTTCTTCTTTGTCAGTCAGCACAGTAATCCCCATCAGATGCTGTGTTTTGATTGATTTCATCTGTTTGGTTACAGTACGTATCAGAGGTGGTGATCGGTGCACCCTTTGCTGTCACAAAAGATTTGTTGGATCACTTCAAGGCAAGAGAATTGACTGATCTTACATTAATATATAACTAACATTCAAAAGTAACAACTGCTTATTCGTGGCTTTGTGTCTTCAGGTGGATCTTGTTTGCCACGGGAAGACAAATATATATCCTGATAGGGATGGATCGGATCCTTACGCCGTAAGTTATGTGTGTACATGTACAGTTATGTGTTGGAAGCTCTTTACTGATTATTTGTTCAGATCATTTTTTGCTTCATATTCAGGAGCCAAGGAAAAGAGGGATACTGCGAACTGTCGACAGTGGGAACAGCCTTACTACGGATGCAATTGTGCAAAGAATAATCAAAAACAGGTGCAGTTAAAGGCCAGGCATTTCTTAAAGGAATGTGTTGTGCTTTAATGTACATTATTGATAACTAATTGAATATAGGTGGTGAAACTTGGTGAGATACAAGAAAACCAGAAATCCATTTTTTTGTTTAATCTAAAGTTTTATTTAACAAACACAGCATATGATTCTCAGTCAATGTTTCATTTTAGAAACCTTTCTCGAAATAGAACCATACAGTCATGTTTCCCTTTATTTCAATGGCTCCTCTTTCCTTGTTTTGTTTCAGGCTGCTATTTGAGGCGAGGAACCAGAAGAAAGAAGCCAAAGAGATGGCTGTGATCCAAGCTATGAAGCGACAAGAGGAGGAAAAGAGTAAAGAAAGAGCTCAAGCTCTTCTTTAAGCCGTCAGCCTTAGAGCTGTGGCTTTAACTCAACACAGACCAGCTAAGTTCATCCTAACTCCTGTACAGTAAAACCAACTCTTTCTCCACATGATCCTGCTGAACAACAGCAGGGATATTAAACCTGTGTGTTCCGCTGTTTGTACAGAACCTTAAATAATAAAAAAAAATGAAGATGTCAGTATATCTTCAAATTTCTATTTTATGTCTTTGGACATTTTAAACCGTTGTTATTCTTTGCCTTCAGAAAACAACTTTATTATCTACTTTTAACACATGAGATGTGCAGACTTGAGCTCTTGGTCAAACTTTTAAATATTAGGAGGTGATTTGATCTGTCGTTTCCACAGGGCTGTTGCTGCTTTTTGCACAGCGACAAGCCGAACCCCACGTCTAATTCATGTGCATATATAATGTATCTATATGGACGTATTAGAGTGTGTTTGTAGACTCTGCAGGCTGCGGAAACCACTGGAAGGTCATGGAAACCATTTCCCTGCCTCTCCGTACTTTCTTCAAATGTTGAGACTTTGAATATTTTGGGACCTCATGTGTGCAAACAGTATCTGCACTGACTGCTCAGAAAACAACAAAAAATGATGATTATTATTATTTTTTTTACTTATAAATGCACAATGTTAAGACCTAAAGGTCTGGCTTTTTGAGTGCTAATGTTTTTATTTTATTTTATTTTATTTTTTAATCAACACTTCTTAGAGATATTTACATATTTTAACTTAAAACTTCCAGAGTGTATTTAAAAAAGAAACATAACAAAAGTTAAATGTTGTTGCCTTGAACATGGAGTACATTTCATACAGTCTCTTGAGTCCTGAGTAATTTAACCTCTGTCTTTATCAGTTGGGATGATTAAATAATATAAATATTTTTTGTAGATGTATATTTGACTTCCCTCCTCCATGTGAACTGCTGTACAGATGGTACCATATTGTTTCAAAGCATAAGACAGTGTGTCGTTAGCAGCTGAAATGTGTTTAATGTAGATTATGATATATTGCTTATGTTATTGATCGCTCCCAGTTGTAGACATTGAGTTTATAGTATATTATTGTTAATAAAATAATATTCTCAAAAACTGTTTTATGTCTTGACCTTCAAAAGATGTGGTCTTTTTTATTTTCATGAGATTAAAAATACAGCAAAAGTCAGTTTTTTGTGACAATTTGGACTTTAAATAAATATATCTGAATTTATTTTGATTTTTAGAGCCCGCTGAAAATATTTCTGTTAACGCACCTTAAGGCCCACTCTGGTTACAGGATAACTGGTATGACTATTCTTTTTAACAGAGATAATGGTTAAAATTGATATTACTTTCAAAAGCTTCCAAAACAAAAGTTTATTTTGAAAAGAACTAACTTCCTGTTTCGGTTTTTTGCTTTTATTTTGAAGGAGTTCCGTGCGCACATGTTTCTAATTAAGCTTCTGCGTTTTTTTTTCTTCGCTTTTTACGAACCTGCAACAAAACAAAATAATGAAGGTTTTAGCTAGCTGATCTTTTTATGCGAATTAAACGAAGAACCAGCGAGAAAAACAACAACAGAGAAATGTTTTGTTGTTTAAAAATATTTCCATTTCCGCTGCAGGTAAAACCGACTTTGACAAATTTATTATTGATCCCCAAATGATTGTTTACATTAGATGTTTAGAACAAATTTGACACATTTTTCTGTTTTTTAATGCCTCGTATCTTAACACAAATTCCCAATTAAACATTTTAAGACGTATAGTATTATTTTCTTATAAATGCATCCAAGTTTTAGTTTTTATTCCCCTTTTCCCCCCTTCTAAACAGAGCACTGCTTGCAGTGTTAGAACATGTGGGTAAATTTAAATGGCAGATAATTTAGAGTTTCAAGTAATTTGGAATAAACAAAAATTGTGACTTGTTTTGTTATTTTTATATATTTATTTATTTAAACTCAGGTCTGTCTGGGTGTGTGTCAGCAGGATGTCACAGAAGAAAGAAAAAGAGCCAAACTGAGGAGCTCCAAAATTGAAAATGATCTTCGTGAACAAGCTGAAGCGGAGAGGAGCGTGATTAAAATCCTCATGCTTGGTAAGTTTCTCAGACCGTGGTTGCTGGGACTGATCCCTGATCACATCCTCCTGAGGGAAACTCCTTGTTTGAAACCTTTGACAGTACTGTTGTAGTCAAGCTAGTTTGTTCATCTGGCATGAAAGGCAACAGGTGATGTGCATTTTTTTCAAGGAATATTGTTTCTCTTTTAATAAGTTTTCTAACCAGTATTGTAATTAAAAAAAAAGTAGTTTTTAATTTGTGTTGCAGGAGTTGCAGAGAGCGGGAAGAGTACAATAATCAAACAGATAAAGATAATACACAGTCGTGGCTTCTCCAAACCAGAGCTCATCAGCTTCAAGGTACGTGAAAATAAGCCTAAAGTTTAGCTTTTCAAATATCAAAGTGGCATAAGATGTTGTTTTCTCAATGACGGCACATCGTAACTAAAATATCATGCTCTTCAAAGCCTGCAGTGTTGGACAACCTTTTGACATCCATGAAGATTGTTCTGCACGGAATGGGCAAGCTGCAGATCAACCTCACAAACCAGAACAACAAGGTGAAATAAAAACCTTACACATACTGCAACCCCTCGTTATTCCAATAGATGTCAGTCTTTGTGTGACAGAACCAGCACCAGTGTCAGAGCACTTACTGTATGTTCGTTTAAAAACTTGTTTTTTTTAAATAAGGGAATAGACAAATATTTGTAATTTATTAAATCATCCAGTACAGCTAAGTCTTAATTCAGCCACGTCTGTGAACTAAAAAGCTTAACTCCTGACATTAGTGACAAATCTTTCTAACTCAAATTACTTCAGATCAGCTTTTTTAGCGTGGAAATAGACCATTAATGTAGTCACTGTAATGCAGATACTTTCAGATACTAAAATCTGCAGCAGATCATAAAAACTCATTACTGTCATCCTTTTATAAACTGAACCGTTTTCTTATTTCTAACCCCAGGAGCACGCTCGTTCCGTTCTGTCCTGCGGCCAGTGTTTGGGAGACGACCAGGAGCTGCTTCCTCCTGTGGGGCGGGCCCTCTGTGCACTTTGGGCCGACCAGGCCGTGCGCGCCGCCGCAGCCAGAGGCTACGAGTACGAGCTGAACGACTCTGCCCTCTAGTGAGTCCATCGGTCTGAGCTGATTAGAGATGCAAAAGGCTCCGTAGTTATAACCGAAGGTGGAAATGTCACAGGAAGTGGCCAATACAGAGCAACAGTAAAGGCAGAGAGGAGAGTAACTTTCTGTCAGGTGATTTGTGTGACGATTGACAAACAGAGAGGTAAGATGCAGAAACTAGACTTCAACATGCTTGTTTTCTCCTCATTCATGTAGAAAACATATTCTCCCCATTCTCTAAACAGCCTAAAATGTGTGCTGATCAACAGCTGAATACATTTGGGCAACTCTTATTCTTTCAGTTTTAAATTTTTAATCATTAAAGGCACAGTGTGTAGGATTTTGTCAGTTCTTTTAGCCGAAATTGAGATAATCACTAATGACAATAATAAAAAACATGTCTAATCATTGCAGACAAAGACCTTGTTTTRTTATTTTTACCTTATAAAAAGCTGGGGGGGAGGACCAGGGAGGATGATTCAACCACTCAACCACTAGATGTCACTAAAAACAACAAATCCTTCACACTGTGCCTTCAAGTCCTGTGACTTTCTTAATAAAATAAATATTTAAGGTTTATTTGAACAATTCATTTTACAGTGGCTAAGGTATTATGAAGGTCTATTGTTTTTATATTAATTTGTAAGCAAATGAGCTGCTGGAATACCTGTTCAATTTAGTAGAAGCAGCATAAATAAGTCCAGCGTGTGTTGAGCTGTATGTTGTTTTTATAGGAAGAGATTTATTTTTTCTTTTAGATGAATGCAGACTTAATGGGTAGACTTGAACCCCTTATCTGTGAGGCAACAAGGACGCGATCAGTCAAGATAAAATCTACTCCAGGTGGCCAGACGGAGGAAGACGGAGGTGTGACAGCTTCATTATAGGAACTCGATAAAGTTAGGAGCTGAGGGATTATACCAGACTCGTCTGGCTCTCTTTCAGTCTTCTCACCTTGCAGGACCCTGCATTGATTTTTCTCCGCCCCCCCTGAAATGTTGGATTAGACTGTGTCGTGACACACTTGACTTCCCCAGGCATCTAAATGTGCAAAATGACTTCTCTGATGGCAACGTGTGCTTGAACTGAGCCATCAAATGCTGCTAAAAGGGCAACAGGAAGTGAACGCGTCAGTTAACCTAAAGTTTGTTTCATGAAACAGTTTTAAGTGAGCTCTGATTTTTTTTAGTCTTTGTTCACGTCACATTTCAAATGGCAGCTGCTTACAAATACAGTATGTTTCATCCTTTTTTTGTATCTGATTAAAGACTGACTAAAACCTTTTTTTCCCTTCCTGCAGTTTCTTTGCGAACATAAATCGAATCATCGCTCCGAACTACGTTCCCACTGAGGCAGATGTTCTGAGAGTCAGAGTGAGGACGTGTGGAATCATCGAGACGCAGTTTCAAGTTAATGAAACCATCTTTCGGTACGACAAATAAAAAAAATGCAAAACCGTTGCCGCCTAATATCAACATAATGTTTATTGATGACATAATATTTCTCACTTGGGCTCTGAGGGGGGAAAAAATGGAAGAAAAATGAGCTTATTTTACAAGTCAAACTCTTGAGTGTAGTTTTGTTGAACAGCTTTTATTTGTCTAATCTAATGACTGAAAAGTTGTTTAAAAAAGCAGCTGTTCTGAAATTAAAACCAGCTATTATTAATAAAGATAAATAACTTCACGTTCAACACACTGAAGCTGGAAAAGACCTTTATTGAGGCTCTTGAGCCCGCCCCTCCACCCCACCCCCTCTCCATCAGGGTCTGAGCAATGAGCTTGGAGACAACTTCCAAAAGATGAATCAGACACTAAAGGTTGATGTTATCTCTCATCGTGGTTATCCAGGAAGATTCTCACAGATCTGGTGACGGCACATCAGTGAGTCATTTCAAACTCTGCCTTCCTTTCCCCCCTTTTGGGCTGATTTGAGAAATGGGTTTTTTGGTTGCTCTTTGCCAGCCTCTCTGTTCATTGATGACGGTGAGTCGGTCATTTTAAACAGAATCCAAACAAAACTACTATATATAAAACACTATTTTCTTTGTGAAAAAACAAAAACAAAATTACACCAGATAAAAAAAATAAATAAACCCAATCAGATTTCGAAACGTGTTCATCGGAAAAGTGTTTTTCTTTTCTTCACGACATAAAACCACTGCAGTCAGTTTACTCATCGCTTCGCTTGTTAAAACGGTTTTCTGACCCGGAGGATAAACACCTTGTTGCAGACGACCTACCAGGATGGCAATCTTGCACCTGTAAACTCTTTGGTCCAAATTGAAACACATTACCTGTGTCACAGAGACCCTCAGCTCCACCTGGTGCCACATCACTTTGCTGAAACAGACGTCTTTGATAGTTAAAATGGTGCAAAATTGTTGTTGTAATCTTTGTTCCCATTGATGCTGTCGTACTAATATATTTTAAAAGAGATATTTTTCAGTGTCTGAAATCGAGACTTTAGAAAGCCAATTGATGGACATCTTTTTGTTCTCATCGATCAAATTTCCTAACTTCTCTCTAGAACGCTTGAATCCTTACAATCGCTTCCGGTGCACCAAATCGTCTGAGTGCGTCCCGGAGCTTTAGTTTGTCCTTGTTGGCAGGTTGTACGATGTTGGCGGCCAGCGCAGTGAGAGGAGGAAGTGGCTGAGCTGCTTCGATTGTATTCATGCCGTGTTGTTTGTCGTGGCCCTCAGCAGCTACGACACGAGGCTGTCAGAGGATCAGGACGTGGTACGTTCTTAAAAACGAATGAATAAAAACAAACGTTAGCGTGTTCCTCTGCTTTATGTAACAGTACTCCTGTCTCTTTATTAGAACCGCCTGCAGGAAAGTCTTGAACTTTTTTCTTCTCTCTGCACAAACGTGATCTTCCAGAGAACCTCTGTGGTACGTTTATCTGCACTCGTGTTATTTGTTTGAATTTTAGCATCTTTATTCACTTTGTGGTGTTTTGTTTTTAAAGCTAATCTAAATAGTCAAATATGTTGTGGTGACTGAACCTGAGCACAACAAAGCTGTGATTACAGCTGCTGCACATAATTGACACACATCTAATTAAGCAGTTCAGTTTACAGCAGACATGTTTAACAGCTCTTATAGTTTGTTTATTATAATAAGAATGAATGAGTCTAATTTTATTGGTAGTATTAATTTTAATTAGCTGAGACAAAGTGGTGAGGATTGTTTGTCAGACATCAGGCATATAGATCATTTCTATGCTTGATTCTTAGATACAGTAAAACTGTTTTTTGTTTCAACAGTTTAAAGCAGGGCTATTCAACTGGAGGCTCGCGAGCCACATCCGGCCCGCGAGTGACCAAAGTTTGGCCCACCAATTGGTTCATTTATCTCTTAAGCCCAAACCCCTGGTTTTCTACTTTAATTACTCTAAGTTCTTTTAGTTAAACATAGACATGTTTGGTATCTACAGAAACTTCAAAATCTCGGCTAGAAGCTGGTAAAAATTCATCAAAATGAACACTCAAGACAATTAAAACTACAAGCAGTTGAAGATAAAACTATGAAAGTGAAAATAAAATAGGTTTAAAAATTTGGCAAGTCAGAGATGTTAAAATAATGTGTCAAATGTGTGTTTTGTTTTTGATATTGTTTAATTGTCACTACTTTTTTCATAGGGTTCTGTATGTTGTATTCATGATTAAATACAGCGAAATAAACTATTTCAGAGGCAACAGTTCTTTGTAATACTTAGTTTATTTACCAAATGACTTTAATTGCTGGATGTTCGGCCCCTGAGCTGTTGATCTGCAGTAACTGTGGCCCCCGGAGCAGTTTAGTTGAATAGCCCTGGTGTAAAGAGTGAAGAAGAGAAGTGATGTGCAAAGAGAGGCCTTGATATTTCACCTGTTATTTGGTCAGGCTCTCATCAGATCTCATATGCAAACACTGGCTAAAAGAATATTTGAAATTACAAGCCACACAGTTAAACCCCAACAAGTACTCTATGGACAGACAAACTATTGTATTTATTAATCAGGTAAAACAAACTGAAGATATGAAATGTGGATTTTCAAATGTTTGCTCAAATGTCAGAAGCAGACAGATTATAGTGGTATTATATATACACACATGCTTTTTGTTAATATGTCTATTTTGAATATTTTACAGATTTTATTCATGAATAAAACAGATCTTTTTCGTGAGAAGATTCTACGTTCTGGGAGGCACTTGAGATTTTACTTTCCTTGCTATGAAGGTACTCTGGATTTATTTCTTACCAGTTTAAACCTTTAATCTTTGATTTGAATGTAAGAATGTATTTTTTTATATTTAGATTTTTAAATAATGGAAAGTTTGTATAAACAGCAGAAACAATATAACATTAGAACAAGAATCAGTGCCTTGTTTTGTCCAGAGGCAATAAAATAATAATAATAATAATAAAGCTTATGAGTTTCAACCCTATTTTCATGTTTTCTTCCTGTTAGGAGCAGATGATGACGTGGACGCTGCAGCCTACCACATCACTGCCATGTTCCTGGTGTGTAACAGTGTTCTGGACAGGCCCGTGTACCACCACTTCACCACGGCTACACACACTGCAGGCATGAAGGTGGTCTTCCACATGCTCATCCAACAGATTATCAAGGAGAACCTGGCATCTGTCCGGCTGTTGTAGCTCTACCAGATTCTGATTAGATTATCATGTCTGTTTTTTTTAATATTTTTATTCTAATTTATTTTCAGTTACTTATTTATTGGTACAGTTGTTTAAGCTCTGTGTTTTTACATTTTAAAATGTTTTAATAAAGTCTTTGGTAAAGCTGAATCCTTGAAAGTTTATTTAAGAGAACCGTTCTTTGTCTTTTTCAAGCAAGTGGAAATATTGATCCGTTAAATCCTAACACCAGCCGCCTTCAGTGAAAATGTGTACTTTTTCCTATACAGTATTTCAAACAAGACCTGTAGTTTGTTTTAGTTTTATTAATGAACACAAACCTGTACAAACACACATCACTGTTACAGTTGTAGACACAATTCATAAAGAAATTGATCAGAATGAGCCATGAAAAAAAATCAATCAGGTTCTTTTTTCAGGCCCACTGCCTTCTTTCAGTTTGACAAACATTTAGTTAAAAAATGTAAATGAACCAAGTGAGCCCCGCTGCTCAGTCTGCTTCACAGTCCGAGGAGTCCAGGGAGAGGATGATGTCTGCTTTGCACTTCAATGATCCCTTCACCTCCTGGAAGAGTTCACAGCTCTGCAGGTTTGGTGTAATGTCTTTGATACAAAGAGGCTAAACGGAGAGAATAAAGACAAGAACCATTGAACAGAGTGGGCTTTTATCACTCTAAACCCACGAGACCACTTTAGGGAGTGAGATTCTGTTAAGCAGCACAAACTGAACTGTCAAACTGGTTCAGTTGTTTTGTATTTAGCAAAAATATAAATTACTGAAATAAAGCTGCATGTATTGTTTTAGTAAAAGCATTAAAAGTTTATTGGTGGTTTAGAGTCCAGTTGGTGCTGAAAGGACAGCTCCTTTTGCTGTCATTAAATTAAAAACTCAACTTTAAGATTCGACATATTTAAACACAGTATTGTCTAAAGTATTAAGTTAGTATTGCAAGTCCCACTGACCATTCTTTTTAAGGCAGAGTTGTGTGAGAGGAGCTCGGACAGAACTCCGTCGCTCTCCGACTCTCCGCTCTCGGACCGCGGCTCTCCTCTCCTCACGTGCGGGGACCTCCGGATCCCGGACAGCAGCCCGGACGCTCTGCCCACCGAGTAGTAGCTGGGCCCGGCCACCTGTTTGTACCAGGCCTCCGTGGGACCGAGAGAGACCAGCAGGAGGATCACTGCGACGGGGATCAGGAGTTTAGAGGGAACCTCCATCATGTCGAGCTCCGCGGTTTTAGTCCGAAGCTGCTGGTTTTCCAAGTGGACTCAAGCAGATCTGCTCTTCCTCTGGAGTCTGCAACCTTTTTATAAACCATCACCATCATCATCAGAGTGTCGTCACTACCTGGAGTAAATGATCAGTCACACTGAGAGGAAATCTTCTGTTTGTGCCTCAGGGTTGTTTTAAGGCTTTGTTGATAATATGGCGGATCTGACTAATTACTGGAACAGTAAGACAAATTACAACATATGAACAAAACCAATGCGCATTTTTAAATGATCTAGTATGTTTTTATAACTGAATAAAAGAACTGGAGAGAATTTATTGTCTCACATTTATTTGAGGCAGATTACTTAGCTACAAAATAAAATTTAAGCATTTGGTCTAAATTATGTTCATGCCTAATAAACTTTATTTATTATAATTTAAACTTTATTATATGTAGCCTAAATTAACTGTCTTTATGGGGTACCAAGAGTAAATTAAAATAAAGTCACATTTTCATGTTTTAGCTCATTTTCTGAAAATCCTAGTTAAAAATTCCACCAACATTTTATTATTATTTATTTTTACTAAATGTTAAATAAAATGTAAATATTAAATCCTAAATCCAAAAATTGTAAATCTATATGTAAAATTTAAATGATGCTGCTAATTGATAAATCTTACATTCAAACATTTCGAAATGGAACACAGCCTTTGTCTTGGTGAGCTGCTGCTGTTGTGATGTCATCATCCTGCAACAAAAACAAACACTAAGCTGCTGAAGATTGCGTTTAAATTTTCAGTTTTACAATGTAATCATTGAAAACAAAATGAAGTGCAGCTTGGACAATGGCTGCAACAGCAAGTTTGATGTCTTGTAGAGAAGCATTAGTGGTGTTAGCGGCATTAGCAGTTGCTTTTGTTGCAGGATGATGATGTCATGAGGGCCATGTTCCATTCCAAAATTATTAAATATAAGATTTAAATGTAAAAGTTTAGCATTTAGCTTCAATATTTTAGACTTATTTTTTATGTTTAGATTATCATATTTAGTATTTGATATGTACAGTACATAGATGTAACATTTTACAACATTTTGTAAAAAGTTGTAAAATGTGAGAGCAGTGAGTGGAATTTTTTTTAAACTAGTGTTTTACACTTTGAAAGTGAGCTAAAGAATGAAAACATGTTAGTGACCTTTTTTTGACATTTTATTTTACACTTCGCACTTAAATTACAACATCAACAAAACCAGAATGCACAATATTTACAATCTAATGTTATGGTATTTTTTAATGGATCACAGGTAAACAAACATTCTGATATTATAAAGTTGCTGTATGTCCAAGGTAAAATTTAACTAAACTTTGTAAAAAAAAAACATTTATTGGACATGTACGTTTAGATTACACATACTATGGCTATAGGCTATGCTGTAGACATTAATTTTTTACACATACAAACATCTAAACATTTAAAAAATGTTTATTACAAAACTTAGGTCTGACAAACTTTCACTTTCAGATCGAACAGATCAGTTTTGGTCTAGATGTACAGATTTAGATGACTTTTAGATCTATTTTCCACCAAAATATGTTCAAAGGGTATTTAAAGAATCAGTTTCACATGATGAGATAGACTGCCTTCATTCTGACTCATGTCTGAGAGTCGCACCAAACATACTTGTATGAACTCTTAGGCAAACATATATCACAAAATGACACTAATAAGCAGGAAGTTTCTACTCTAATGACTCAATAAGACAAAAGCTAACTTTATGCCTTCACAGGTCGAAGCAAAAAATGTAAAAAGCAAATATTAAAGCCTAATGAGCAATCAGTCATCACTATTAACACTTGTTCCCAGTGAAACAAAACCATGAGGTATGTGCAAGCTAAATCTGCAAAGACTTAGTTTTGACCACATCAAAGCAGAATCAGACTGTACTCCGTGTGTGTGTGTGTGTGACATTTATGTTTCTGCTCAGACGTTGCAACCCTCACATTCAAATGGGAAAACTTGAAGCAGGCGACGGGTGGCCTGCTTTCAGAAGCAGGGTGACCTAAGACCTTTGTTCACAACAGGATGCGGTGTGCTCATTAACTGGCAAAGAAGAGATTTTTGCTTTTAACTTTTTTTCTGTAAGAGCTCCGACATGTTTGTCGAACGTATAAAACTGGTATGGATGTTCCTGCTTCAGTTCTTTGGAGGTAAATGCATTACTTTGTTTATTAGCGATTCAGCAAAATCACAAGATTCACTTTTTTTAACAAAATTCGACTCCTGTGCTTGCAGTAGTTCTCAGTGGCAGGTGCGGTCTGGAACTTGAACAACAACATATATGTGCAGTGAGAGGCTCCTCTGTGGTTGTCCTGTGCTCATTTTACAATTCAGACCCACGAAACTCAAACAAATTCGCCTGGGTTCTCGTGAAGTCCAATCATACAAAGGGTCACTTCATTGTGGGCAGCAACTTTAGAAAAGTCTTTGAACAGTTTGAGTACATTGGAGATCATTATCAGAACTGTTCTATGAAAATCCAGCAGGTGGAGAGTAAACATGATGGAAGATATTCTGTCACGGTCAACAGAAACAAAGTGTGCCGCAATAAAAGCCTGACACTGAAAGTGGTTGGTAAGTTCCATTTAGGATTTAAAACACTCAGGCTGTATGAAGTGAACTTTAGAACTGTTGTTTTACTTTCTTAGATCTAAGCATTCTGCTGTTCAGTTCTAACAAAGATGGAATCATAAAAGAAGGAGATTCATTGAACCTTAGCTGCACCGTCAGCTGTGGCCACAAACCATCTGTTTTCACCTGGTTTAAAAACAGAGAGCCCATAGGTGAAGGACAAGTCTTTCATTTTAGAAAGATTTCCCCGGCAAACTCTGGAAACTACAGCTGCTCTCAAAAAGCACAAAGTGGAGCGACTTCAGATGTGAGGCAGATTGATGTTGAATGTGAGTATCAGACTGTGAATAAAAACTCTAAGTTTCGTACTGCTAATGAAATGACTAAATGTTAGGAACTTTGTTAAAATGATCAAAATAGGATGAATCTTCCATCATCTACCTAAAGATTGATATTTAAATGTTGAATACAACAAAAAAATGAAAAAGTTCTTTATGTTTTTACTTACCTAAATGCTTCTGTGCATTTTCAGATGGTCCTAAGAACACATCTGTGCTTGTCGGACCCTCAGACGGTGGTGACATCACACTGATCTGCAGCAGCGATGCACACCCACCTGTTCTGAACTACAGCTGGTTTAAAATAAACAATGGTCGGGTAATGAAAGTAGGACATCTGTTTGCGTTTGTCCCAGATGAGGGAGGTCAATATTTCTGCTTCGTCGCCAACAAACATGGAAGTCAGAACTCCACGGTTTTCACACTGAAAATGAAATGTAAGTCTCCTTTTCTGATCTGTTAATCAGGAAGTGGGCTCCTAAAAGTTTTACTTTGTCTAACGTTGTCATGTTATTGTGCCTCACCCTCTCTTTTTGTTTTACAGCTTTTTGGGCAACTTTTAACAGAGATGTGTCTCTTATTGTTATTATTGCTGCGATTCTAGTTGTGACCATGATTATAACTGTTTGTAGGTAAGTTGCATGCAGATTGTAAAGTTACTAAACACAATTACTTTGCTACTGTATTTAAGTAGAATTTTTTTGTTATTTGTACTTTACTCGAGTAATTAATTTTTCAGACGACTTTTTATTTCTACTCCTTACATTTTCACACAGTTATGTGTGCTTTTTACTCCTGGTATTTTAAAAAGGTAAGAAGTAGAAAGTTGTTACTAGGGATGCGATATGAGAATTTCAGCCAATATACAGTATATACATACATATATGTATACATACATACATACATACATACATACATACATACATACATACATATGTATATATATATATATCGGGTCCTCTACCAGAGGCCTGGGAACTTGAGGGTTCTGCGCAGTATCTTAGCTGTGCCTAGAACTGCACATTTCTGGACTGAGATGTCTGATGTTGTTCCTGGGATCTGTTTTAGCCACTGCTCCAGTTTGGGGGTGACTGCCCCGAGGGCCCCGAGGGCCCCGATGACCACAGGCACCACTGTGGTCTTCACCTTCCAGGTCTTTTCCAGTTCCTCACTGAGGCCCATAGCCTTTTACAAGGAGACATGCAT